TACACCGCGGCCAGCGGCCCCTGCATCCTCACGCCGCACCGGGACAACCTGCACCAGATCGATGCTGTGGACGGGCCCGCTGCCTTCCTGGACATTCTGGCCCCGCCCTACGACCCCGACGACGGCCGGGACTGCCACTATTACCGGGTGCTGGAACCCGTCCGGGCCAAGGAGGCCTCCGGATCGACCTGCGACCTGCCCCGAGAGGTGTGGCTCCTGGAGACCCCGCAGGCCGATGACTTCTGGTGCGAGGGGGAGCCCTATCCAGGTCCCAAGGTCGTCCCTTGAAGCCGCAGGCGCCCAGGAGCGGGGGGCTGAAGACCTGCCCTACTCAGATCGGGGCCTGGCTGCCAGCACCCCACCGCAAGGGCTCTCTCCCTACCCCCAGGCCACCTGGGCATTGGATCTACTGGAGTGGGCTGGTGTGCTTCCTCGGGAGCCTTGGGAAGCGCGGGCAGCGACTGGACCGCAGCCACCGGGCACGGTTATGGGGGCGGGGGAGGCTAGGTCGTTTCCTGGCTTTGTCACTGCCACCAGGGTTTTGATTTGGGGGGAGGGGAGCAGGGGGCTATCTGAAGCGCTTCCATCCTAAAGCCATAATGAAAATATTCTTCCTTTGTTCCCATTCTATACAAGATACACTGAAAGGTTTTCTCCCCCCATCGCCTTCGCCTTGGGTAAATAGGGCTTGTTTTCCACTTAGGTCCTTGGCTCCTTGTTATAGTTTTAACTTATTGACTGCATGACCCAGTGGTTTGAATTGTTTTTAGTTCAAGTCACTGGTCAAAAACTAGGTTTAGAGAGATGAGCTACTTTTTAAGTGAGCTGCCCTGCCTGATTAATTCGTTGGGGAAATTAAATCAGTTTTCCAGAGTTGGGGGATCATCCCCAGGACATAACTATGCGTGTAGAGGACGAGAACTTCTTTCCTCCCCTTGCCCAGTAGCCACATCTGGTTTACTCGGGCAGCATCCACTAAGAAATTCACACCTGCGTTTCTCAGTGACAAATTGTCACATAGAGCTTATCTTCCCTGTGAGTCCCCAGATCTGTGAGTTGAGCAGATTTCTTGTTGCGGAGGGGAGCAGGGGGCTATCTGAAGCGCTTCCATCCTAAAGCCATAATGAAAATATTCTTCCTTTGTTCCCATTCTATACAAGATACACTGAAAGGTTTTCTCCCCCCATCGCCTTCGCCTTGGGTAAATAGGGCTTGTTTTCCACTTAGGTCCTTGGCTCCTTGTTATAGTTTTAACTTATTGACTGCATGACCCAGTGGTTTGAATTGTTTTTAGTTCAAGTCACTGGTCAAAAACTAGGTTTAGAGAGATGAGCTACTTTTTAAGTGAGCTGCCCTGCCTGATTAACTCGTTGGGGAAATTAAATCAGTTTTCCAGAGTTGGGGGATCATCCCCAGGACATAACTATGCGTGTAGAGGACGAGAACTTCTTTCCTCCCCTTGCCCAGTAGCCACATCTGGTTTACTCGGGCAGCATCCACTAAGAAATTCACACCTGCGTTTCTCAGTGACAAATTGTCACATAGAGTTTATGTGACGTCCCCAGATCTGTGAGTTGAGCAGATTTCTTGTTGCAGATTCACCTTTAATGCAAAAACTATATTACCCTCAAGTGACTTTTTTTTTTGGCCATAGTATAAGAGGTGGTAGGGTAGTGCTGTATTTTCTAACCAGAAGATTCAGAGGCACTGAATCAGTATGCTTCCAAACAACTGAATGTAAAACACCCCTGGCCAGCTGTTGAACTCCATGTTCCCTATTTACTTCCGGTATTTTCCTGCAAAAGTAGAGGAAAATGTTGACTGTTTCAAATTCTCTCACACCTAATGTTCCAGAGAGCTGGTGGTTCCAGCTGTGTTGTTGGTGGCCCTGTTCTCAGAACCCTGTCCCTCCAGCAGGAGAGAGCCAGCGCTTGCTTCATCTGGTGTGGTTTTCTATAGGGAGAGCGAGAAGGCACTGGCGACCCAGGCTCCGCAATTGAGAATTAATTATTCTGCTGGCCATTTTAGGGCACCAAAAACCCCCCACTCCCAGCCTCTTGAACAGTTGTGCTATCTGTAACTAGTTTTATGTTTGTCCTTTTAATAGTCTTGAGCAACTTGACCTTGTTTACAAACACATTGACACCATTTGCTTCCGGCCATGAAGCACTATTGTTTCCCCCTTATTACTATTAATAGGATTCCTTTTTTCACAAACTTTTAATAACAAATTGTAGAAATAAACACATTAAAATTTGCCCAGCTGTCGTCTAAGCCCTCTTGATTGACTGGCCCATGTGGCAGTCCAGTTCTAATATCTGTAATAAAGGGAGATTTGCTATTGGTGGAAAGTGTGGACCCTGTAGGAAAACAGTATGTGCCTTTGCCTTTTCATGCACACTGGGTTACAGAGGCCCAGAGTGAAGGAATATTTGTTCCCAAATTTTTAGATAGAATGAAAAAGCAAAATTCTTAATGAAATTACTATTATTTACAAAAAAAAGAGATGTTTACTCAAAGCAACATGCCACTATGTTATAAATCCTGACACAGGCATAACACCAAGAATATTCTCCAGAGTTACTAATATTGTTTATGGTAGCTTCACATTCAATATAACTTGAGAGCAGTTTGAAGCAGTTCTTTATGCATTCAGTTTGAAAATAAGTTCTAGCTATGGAAACGATTTTCTTAGAAAACTTTACCAAATGGGTGTTTTTCATAGCACAGTATGAATGTGTTTGGTTAACAATCACATACTTACCTGTTTTGAATTATATTGTAGCAAAAAGTTAAGATTAACTTATTAAGATTGTGGACAGTAATGTGTATGTTATAATATAACCTGGAGGACATTAAATTAACCATTCTGGCAATAGCACAATATTAAAGGAGAAACGATTTTCCTAATTTCATTATGAAAAGTTTTAAAGTTCTCAAGTACAAGCAAGTTGAATGAAAAAAAACTAAGGTGCTTTTCAAAAGAATAACTGAAATTGTTGCAGGCCAGAACAGCAATATGATATCTCTAATTTAGTTCAAGAGGAACAGTGAAACTTTTGGTTCACTAATAAATTCTGAATAAATTAATGGTGAACACAAAATGTGACCTGTTTTAATGAGCCACTAAGAAAAGACTATTCTTATTACTAAGATAAATGTGCAGAAAAACCTTGCACTTTTCTGCATAAACTGTTAGTCATGAGTGACTTCATGTGCTGCTATTGTGTTTCCATGTATTCCTGCAATATAGACTGTTTTAGTAACAACGGTGGGAAAAAGTTGTCTTCCCTACAAAGACTAATGAGCACAATGATACTAATCACTTAACTTTTCTGTTGCATAACATTCAATAATTGCCTCTCATGGGTAAGAAGTTGTCTGTCTAATACTTCTAAAGCTTTTTAATTTTCTGGTTATATCAATGGCCACTTTTATCAATGGAGAGTATTATCTACCTACTACTTTATGAGAATTGATTTTTTATTAAGCCTGATTTGCACGGATTGTTTATACCAATTGCTGTTTATTAATGAAAATGGTGAGCCTATTTTTAAAGTAATATGTTTGTCAACAGGAGTGGGTCTCTGACCTTTTAACATTAATCCTTTAACTTCTCCCAAAGTTTCCACCTTTTATTCCTCCTTTTGCATTATCCACTTGTAGGTACCTCAGTCTTGGCATCCCAGGAGGACTCTGTCATCACTCATATTTTCTAAATGACTTTGAATCTTGTGCTATGGCTCTACAGCTTGATAAAGAAGCAATATATCTCTAATCCAGGGCTCTGCCCATTGCTATTGAACTCTAACGTGCGGGTAGTAACACTCATGTAACTCTCCTGGTCTGAACTTGGGACCTCTGATCCCTTTAGTGCAATGAGGCATCTACTATCAAAGAGGGAAATCATTTGTTAAGCCCCATATAAAGACTGAATCTTCAGATCCAGAGATGTTTACATTTCTGGATTAAAATCAGTGTACTTATGGAAAATAAAGGCATGTTTGAAATTGTTTATAGGTAAATCTTACTTGATTATTGCAAAATAGAGAAGGAAAGTATTACTTGCTACAAATGACTACGTTTTTACTAGCTGTTAAAGTTTCATGGTCTATACTGTAAGATGATGTACCAACAACTGATGGCCTGCAGATTCTAAAGTTTATTTCCTTGAGAGTGTGCTTTGAAACAGTTGATTGAAAACATAATCTGAAACTATTTAATGTTTAATCATACTATTTTGCTGCAACAGAAAATATGTTTTCTATTTAACTTAAGGAAAAATAAACTTGTGCAAGAAAACAAAAATATTTTCATCCACAAAGGAAAGAATCTTTGGATTTAAATATTTTCTTGTCTTTCCTTTTACTGTAAAATTTGTTTAATTGTTTAGAGTGGAGGCACTTTAGGCACTTGTGATGATGCTGACCATTCTTTCTCACACACAATACACATTGTATTGAACTGTTAAAATAGCACTACAGTCATTTTTAATATATACCTAACAGTGTGCCTTAATTTAATTAGCAGTTAGGATATTGAAATTAAATAGGCTTGTTTATTAATAATTGAAAACCTTATTTAGGTTTAATAGATCTATTTTTAATGTTTACTGAACTATCTCGAGTGCATTATGATCTTTAAGGAATTACTCTCCAGAAGTTTATTTTTAATAAGAATTCTAGTAGCAGCTGAAGCATCAATAATATTATGCAATAAAGCAATAAGAAGGAACCAACTTAGCTTAATATACTTTATTTCTTGAGAAAAAAAAAAAAGAAAATGACCCGTGAGAACTACTGAATGTGTGGAGCCAAAAGTAAAATCCGATTAAAGATTGACCTAACATGTTGAAATCAAGGAGTAAAAGTCGTAACGTTGACTCAAAAAAAACACGTTACAGTATATTATTCCACTTCACCAAGCCCATGTCAATGTAAAAGTGATTATGTAACTGATTTGACTATCATAAGATGTATTTCATCTTACTTTTTTTAGAAAAGCTCTTTTAGTCTTGCAAACTTTACATTATCTTGACTGAAGTTGCTCTAAAATTAAAATTTGGCAAGACAATCATCGATCTTATAAAACTTAGGTGTGCTATATATTAATATAATGAAATTTTGGTAGGAGGGAAGTCTTCATTTAAAACATAATTATCAAAATGCGGCATAGTTTTGTACATGTTAAACAAAATTGGCCACGCAAGGATGATAATATTGGCCAAGCAAGGAAATAGGACTCTAAGAATAACGCCAGTCACTAGGAAATCTGACACTGAAGTTTAGAAACTTCTGTTTAGTAGTTATAGAAATTTGGACAGGGAAGAAATAAGAAAAGGGTTAATTACTTCCACATATTAGAACTCAAATTCTAGTGCTAGTAAGGGCAAAAAGTAGTTTCCGGGAGTAGCTATTGCTCTCTCTGCTAAAGTACAGGCCATCAATTATCAGCCAGGACAAACGGCAGGGTTTTCGGGCAGTGTAGCTGAATAGTGGGCACTCCAACGTGTTGTGTTAAACTTGTGTAAGGATCCAGAAGCAGTGGGTGAAAAATATTTAGGCCCAATTTTAGAGAAAGATAAGTTCATAAAGACAATTTTTTGGGGGGGGGGTGGCTTTATATTTTATAATCACTACAAAAGGCTTGCAGTAAAATGAACCCCATAGTGTACTCTTGCAAACCATCATCCAGTACCATGGAGAACAGTATTTGCCTATTTAATACAAATTGTCTTTGAGATTTTAGGGTTGGTGGACACCTACCTTATCTAATGAGCTGGGTATTTTGGTAATCTCTAAACCCACCAAACCTATGGCAGATTAATGATCTTCCCAATAGGGATAACCAGGGAGAAATGTGTCCTGGGGTGATTCCTTTGGCAACCCATTAACACTGTCATCAGCAGTGTCTGAATGCATTTTTGATCTGAAGAGGTGATAGCGCTTTTCAAAAAGTTTTCTGTGGTCATGAGACTAATCCAGGAACCTGAAAGTCATTCCCAGCTTGACCACGCCACCACACTTTCCACAAAGCCACATTTGGTCTGAGTTCCTGCCCCTGGTCAGGGTTCTGAAAGCAGTTGCAAATGTGTAGTCTCTGAGTGGGCACTTGTTTGTAAGTATTTATTTTCCGGAGCCCACTCAGGAGTGGTGAGAAGCTATAGGCTGTTATAGAGGACGGAACAATGAGTCAAAAGAACGCCTCCCTACTTTTACACTAATGTAATGGGGAAATCCCCTGAACACTAGTGTTTGATTATGAATGGAGATTGCTTTGGGGTGAGAGGGCTGGTGTTGAAAGGCTAGCAAAGAAAACTTGGATATCCTGGCTTGGTCAAAGCACTAAAAATCACTGTATGACTATTAAATTCCCAACCAGCAAATCTTTCAGAAATGATTTCTAAAGCAAAAATATTGTTGAAAAGTATTTATTTACACTATAGTTATAAACCATCCATTATCTCAGTTAGTGGTTTTGTGTTAGAATAAATCATTTATGTTTCCACGACTATTAAAAGCTAATAACCAAACAAGTCAGTTCAGCAACATTATTTACATTCTTAACTGCAATTTGACTACAAAGGTAACACTTTTAAGTCACAAAACAGAGCATACAAAAATATACTTTCTAAAAAAAAAATTCCAAATATTAATAGGCAGATATATACAGCCATACTAAACCCAGGGAGTGATTTTTCTTTTCATAGTAAGGCAACCCATTTACATGCAGACCCTGTAACATTGTCTACATCACACAAGGCACCAAGGACACTTCCAACACAATTGCATGCATCCTAGATTCAGAGAATATATGTACATCCCCTTTTAAATAAGTTAACCTCTGACTCGTTTCAAGAGATCATAAATGCTTTACTTTTTTTTTTTCCCAAAGGTTCAGAACTTGGAGAACAGTGCACATCAAAAATACACAAAATCTGAGTGGATATACACTGCAAAAATAATCTTTACGTTTCTCAAACAACTCAAAAAGGAGCAGATATTGCTATGTCCCTCCTGTCACATTGCACTTCTGTTCTCTGAGTTTATAATACATATTGCTTAAAGGGTTGAGAGGACTAGATACACTTGGATTCACTGTTCCAGGGCCACACAATGCAGCATAAAGACCATGCTTTACTCGTTGTACAGCGTCCCCCAAATCAATCCCAAGCCATAAAGTGCACGTCAGTTTTGCTTCTGTCTTTGCTGTCCCCACCTGAAGGGGATCAGCATCTCCCAACCTACTGTAGAAAACGTCTCAGATCAACTCTGACATTCAGAGCCAGAAACCTGTAATTGGTCAAAATAAGAGAGAGGGAGCAAAACCTAGCCAAACAACCCTTTAAAGCAGGGTTAGGCCTCAGCCCTCTAGGCCAGGGGCCCCCACCAAACCTCCTGCCAGAACCTCTCCATGACCTTAGGGTGATAGTCAACTCACCAAAGAAAGACTCAGGTGGGCTAACGTTTAGGAAGGACCTGCTTCTAAATGGAAAGGGGGCAGTGCTGGGCTCCACCAAGGCCCTTTTGCCCAAAGAAGGGAGAGAGGGGCAGGAGAGGGTGGTAGTGTTTGTTGTGCAGCTCCAGTGGACCAAGGGCCTCTGGGACATCAGGAAGCTGGTGTGTCAGGCTGAGTCTGGTCTCAAGGTGTCCTGGTCCTAGAGGAGCAAGTGGCCAGGGACCCTCCTCCAATAGTGCTGCTGTTGCTGCTGCACAGGGGCACTCCAGCCTGCGTGCCCCCAGGGCATGAAGCCGTAGAAGCAGCGGGCACCGACGAGGGAGCACTGCTTTTGCGCTCCTTCTGTCGCAGGTGGATCTTGGTGTGGCGCTTCCTCTCATCACTCCTGGCAAACTTGCGGCCGCAGTAGTCACAGGCAAAGGGCTTCTCGCCAGTGTGCGTGCGGATGTGGGTAGTGAGGTGGTCACTGCGGCTGAAGTTGCGCATGCAAATCCGACACTGGAAGGGCTTGTGCCCCGTATGGATGCGGATGTGCCGCGTCAGCTCGTCGGACCGGGAAAAGCGCCGGTCACAGCCTTCTGCTGGGCACGGGTAGGGCCTCTCGTGCACTGGCGTCTTGCTAGGCCTGTTGGGGTACTTGCGAGGCCTCAGAATGGGCCGCAGGGGCAGATGGTGAGGGTTATAGGCAGCAGCGGCGGCTGCGGCCGAGCTGCTGCCAGGGAGCCGGGGTCCCTCGCTGCCTCCACTGGCCCCTGGCCCTGTGGCCCCAACACTGGGGCCCCCCAGAGTAAAGTTGCGGATAGTGGAGAGTGGAGTGAGCGGAGGAGGGACTCGCAGGGAGTCCAGGGGACAGGGAAAGGGCTTGCGGTCTGGGCCAGCTGTACCGTGTAGGTCTCTCTGGCACTGCGATGGGAAAAATCCAGGGTAGTCTGGGATCATGGGGAAGAGACCTGGGTCCGTGGTCGGCTTGGGGGATGGGTAGGAAGGAGGCGGTGGGTAGCCCAGAGAGGAGGAGGTGGAGGTGGTGCTTGGGGACAGGAACGCTGAGGGGTCCTGGTAGAGTTCTCCTGCGCAGCCAGAATAAGGAGGAGGTGGCGGCGGTGGAGAGTAGAGGTGGTCCAGGTCAGGCTGGGTCTGGGACATGGTGCACACACCCAGGGGTCCTGTGGCCAGTGGGTTGGGGGAGGCAGAGGTGACGCTGGATGAGGCTGTAGTCGAAGCTGGGGAGGCGACCCCTTGCAGGATGCCGGCACTCACAATATTGATGATGCCTTCTGGGTAGCAACTGGCACCAGCGTACTGGGGGTCAATGGAGAACTTGCCCATGTAAGTGAAGGTCTGGTTTCGGGGTGCGGAGACGGGAGCAAAGCTGCTGTGATATGGGAGATCCAAGGACCTCTTCTCTCCAGTCATGTCAATGTTGATCATGCCATCTGGGGAGAAGGAAGAATGGAGGTGGAGCGGTGAGAACGCAGCCAAGAATCCCTTCTCACCCCCTCTCACACGGGTCCATAGGATCCTGGCACTTAAGAGTTGGGTAGGGAAATTGCTACCCAGAGACCCACTGTGGCAGTCAGTACAGTCTGGGACTCAAACTACCTCCAGGAAAAGCAGGATGGCCTACTCTCAACCCCCCCCCCCCCGCCCCCCCCCCCCACACAGCCATCTGTGGCTCTAGTCCACAATAAAAACACCCAATAATAGCAACAACATTAAAAAGTCCTCATCTGCCTGAAACGTCTCTCCCTCTCCTTTGCTTGGGGATCCCACGGCTGCGGCGCCGGGTAGACACCACCGAGACGACAGATCCCAGCCAGTGCCGCAAAGTTGCAAGCCCTGGAGGGGAGCCCAAGAAAGGGGTCGGTGATTTCCCGGCTGCTCCCCATCTCTGGCGCCTTCCCTCCCTCCCTTTCTTGCTGCGCTTCTGCAGAAGGCTGCCGGAGGGAATCCGGCGCGGCGGTGGAAGGAGTTCATAGCTTTCCTTTCCCTTCCAACCTTGCCCCACACCCGCACGTCCCGGCCCAGCCCAAGGCCAGTGGCGGGGCTTCGAGAAAGGCGCGGGGGCCGCGGGACACCACTTTTCTCCGCATCGCCAAGAAAGCCAGCGGCACCGGTGTCTCCGCAGGGCCTCTCTGGGAGCCGCTTCCCGCCGTGTCCCGCCCTCCTCCTCCGCCCCCTCCTCCCAGCCTCGCCAACCCCCTCAACTTCGCGGGCGGCGCGCAGGTGGGGGCGCTCCTTAAGGCCGCACGGGTAGCGCGTTCCGAGACTTTCCCCGGGTCGGGTCTGCTCCGCCTGGGAGCGAGCGGCGGGCGCTTTCCTCTGGACCTTCTCCGCCGCTCGGCTCTCCAGACGCGCAGCTCTCCTCCAGAACCCCGAACTTTCTCGTCATTTTGCCCCTACCCGGGGCGAGGGGAGGCCGGGATGCCGCCGGCCGATTGGCCAGCACGAGTCCCAAAGTCTGGTGGTGCACCTCTTCTACCCTCACCCCTAAGCCCCCTGGGAACTGGGCGCGCGCGGCGCGCGCAAGCCGGCTCGATAGCGACCCGGTACATCTGCCCGCGCGCCCAGCTCCAGTACCCGGATCCCCACTCCCACGGGTTTCTCCTGCACCCGATTCCCGTCTTCAAAGACAGTTCTGTCAGCACCGACCACCTCCCGCCCCAACCCCTCTCCTCCAAGTCCTGCACACGCACCGCACCCCACCCACAACCCCCGAGTTGCGTGGGTCCCGGTCCGCGAAAGGAACACGCGACTTACCTCCGGCCACTCCGTTCATCTGGTCAAAGGGGCCTCCCAGTTCGGCATTGGGGAAGATAGTCACCGACGTGGCGAGGTCCTCCACCGGGTAGATGTTGTCAGACAGCTGGTGCACAAAACCACTGAGAGTTACTGGGATTTTGTCTAAGGCCTTGGCGGTCATCATTTGCTCCTCGCGCAACCTGGAGACCCAACTCCCTCGCTACCTGGTGTGCCAGAGAAGCCGTTTTTGGAGAGGGGTTGGACTGAGCCTAGGTTGGTATCTCCTTTTGCCCTCCACACTTAAAGGCAAACACCAAAAAAGAAGAAGAAAATCCAGTAGAAATAAAACTAGCAAACAAGTTGCTGTATTTTTTAAGAAAAGAAGAAAATGGCTATTTGCCACTCTCTCCTGCGTTCCGGCTGGGAAGCCAGGAGTTGCTGGTGTAGTGTTATTATAACAGTGTGTCCCCTCGCCGAGCTATTAATCAATTGCTGCTCTCTCGGTTAGACGGAAAGTGTTGCTCTAAGTATTTATGGGCAGGTCCTCAATGCCCGTGACGTCGCTGCCCATATATGGACTGAGGAAAAGGGCCGGGCCGGCGGCTTTTGGCGTCACATGGCTAATTTGCATACGGGCTCGGCTGCGCGGGCTCCGCCGGGCTCGCGACTCCCGACTCGAAGC